AAGTTTGACTTACACATGTAAGCTAATCGAACGCACCCCATATGGAGGTAGTCCAGTAGACTGGCCCCCAGTCTGGGGCTACCTCCATATTTTCAAAGACCAACGTTAAGAGTTTTAGAATTTATGCTTTACTAACTAATTAGGCCTAGACTAGTAATCAGGGTAATTGTTTTTTATGTGGCCTATGAGGAAACAGCCAAGAAACATCAGTGCTAGGCCTACATCATGTAAATACATCTTCCTTCCTCCGTGCTTCATCTAGCCCAGGTTGGACGTTGTCTTCATTTCACTACGACTGACGTATCTTTATCATACATGTTTAAGCCTTATCGCAAATACTGCATGGGTGATTTTGCACAATGGTAGAAAGGCATTGTGGGAAGGAAAAAAGGGGCAATGTTTGCTCCTTTTTCTTTCCCACAATGCCTTTCTACCATTGTGCAAAATCACCCATGCAGTATTTGCAATAGAGCTTATGGGGCCAATGCGCTTGTCGACCCTAGTATTACATGGGATTCTTTCCCACTTAGACGTTCTTTGGCCTTCAATGTAGCCTTCGAAAAAGCAACTGACCAGAAAGGAAAACTTAATTGGGTTTGCCCCGCCCATCCCATTACCTGACTACTGCAGTACGGTACTGCATGCCATGGCACTTACTTTGCCCAAATGCGAGACTTGACACAAAAACGACAGCAACCAACGTCAATGTGGCGAGTTCCTGTAACACTGCTGCCATGTCATCAAATGACCAAAGGCTAGGCAACTAACCCTAGGTAACCTTCACAGTGGTAACACTTTTCTCTGAAAAATGTTGTTTCCACATCTTTACGAAACTGTTTGATGATTCCATGGAGCTATAAAAAAAAATCTAAGAAAGGTCGTCAGGCATGTCGACTGTCAGGCAGGTGAGGCGAAGGCTAGTTACTAGTCTCAGGACCAGCCGCTGGTCATGGTAAAGGAGAAGTTTAGTCTGTCTTGATGCTGAAATTGTTGATTGTCTGCTGCAGCGCTGCCATACGATTGAGGGTGGCGCCCTTCGTAAATCATGTGATTTTGATCTCGAGGAGCAAAATGGAAAATGGCAGCGCCCATGCGGTTGCAAACTTCAGTAGCCGTATGGAACGGAATAGTTTTCTGTACTGCAGTCTTTCTCCTTGATTGTTTGCAGATGACAAAGGCGTAAGTATAGACATTTAATATAGAGCTAAATTTGTGGTCGTTCTGCACACAACTTTTATACCCTGGATATCAGTCGTAATGAAATGAAGACAACGTCCAACCTGGGCTAGACAGTAACTCTAAGTCTCTATCATGTCTACTGGCGTGACCGGTACGAATCGCGGTAGCCTACGGGGCCACTCATCAGCGCTGTTCCATGTCGTAGCTGGCTAGGAGGTCAAAAGTCACATGTAATAAAAAAAGGCGCTTTTTCCTTGCCACTACAAGAGGGCGATAGCTGCCAACCGGGTACTTGGTTTGGACTTTTTTCGACCATCTCTATTCATTTCGTGTTGCTCCATTCTCAAAAAGAACTCTTTCGACATTGTAGCCGTGTAGCTGCCAATCGGACAATGTTACTCTGTTTGGACTTCGACTTTTTTCGACCATCTCCCTTCATTTTGCATTGCTCCATTCTCAAAGAGAACTCCTTACTTTGGTTTGGTGATGCAGTTTGAGGAAAAACACTTCCATTTTTGCAGTGGCTTGATTTCCCATCACTTTCTCACTTTTGTTCTTCTAGTTTTTAATTTTTTTCAATTTAACTTTAGTTACATTCAGTGAATTTTAGTCTTTCAAATAAATCATAATTGGCATTAGTGGGCCTATAAAACTATGAGGAATTGATCTGTATATTATGACAAACATTTCTTTCTTAATCTATGTGAAATTCTTTAAAAAGTCCCAAAATTCAGTGCCACGAAATCTGCATCGTTGTCAGCAACAAAAATCACAAAATATAAGGAGGGCAGTGCTTTTTCAGGCTGTGTATTTTTGCTAGCGCCCTCAATAGTTGGCAAATGTTGATCATAATCATCATTAGTGCCGATATTGGACGTCCAACATCGATCGTGAGGGAACAGTGATCACTTTATCTATTTTCTGGACAATTTTAAATGGTTCATTTTTGTATTTAGTCTGTAAAGTAAAACTTGATGCTCCGTTGACATTTTCCCCAAATTTTCCCTGGAAAAGCATTTAATTTGCACATAGCTTTAAAAAGAAAAACGTCCAAGTGATGATTGATCATTGACAGTAAATTAACAGTGCATAATTTCGTTCAAGACTTTCACGACCAGAGAATTAGATGCAGGAATATTGGTATGCCCGAATTTACAGTAATCCATAATAATTCATTTCACTCAAAATGGCGCGTATGTTGTACCCCAAATCCAAAATCCGTTGGAACAGATGCAAATCTCTTGAAATTTTATGACTTAATAAGCAGGACCAGATGTGACAGACTAGGTCATTTCTTGAAAAAAAAAAGTGAGCTTTTACTTACCAGCTTCTCATTCTCCCGAAGATGAAAATGATCTAAACACATCACTCTCACATAAAGTAAAACATCAAACTCTCTCTTTGTTCTCACTTTCCTGCAGTCTGGACCTTTTTCCTTTGACCTTTTTGTTTTCTTGCGAAAGTCTTGTAAATATGATTGAAACCTCTCCTGAACTTTTAGAGTGATGTGTAAAGTTTCTTTAGAGTAGTTTGTTTACGCTATTTACACTAATCATGTCAGCACTTTTTGATGGTAACGAGCATGACCATCAATAGGCTGGTCATGCTTTGCTTGCATTAGATGTGTCCATAGTACAGTAGGCCTACATGTACGTGCAGCTCTCTCAGTTTGTTGATTTGTCTAGTTGATAAGTAATACATTAACTTTTTTTCACTTGTGATCTGGCCAGTTGGAGTCTGTGGACGTCAGCACCAGTCGAGAGAAAGAAGTTTGAGAAAGTTGTCCCCTTGCTCATTTATACATTTTATATCAACTGACATGCGGTATATTGTCTAGACCCTTCCTTGTCTGCGAAAGTTTCAACTGTTTTGGAGCCAGTCATGAGGCTCCTTTCATTCCTGTTCATTTTTAGGAATATTGATGTTTTATGAACACTTTTTCTTGTTGTTTTATTTCTTGCCTCTGTTTATCTTTCAGCTCCATCCCTCAAGATGTCCTGACGCCTTACCCCCATGGCTTCCATGGCTCTCCTCACAGTCAACGCTTCGTCCGTGACTGTCAGCCAGTTACTTATGGCAACTCCACCATCCAATCCCACCTTTCTCATGGACTTGGCTCTGCACACATTACGTTACCCATCACTACCACAAAACAGTTCATGGACACTGCTTTGTACTTCCGAACTTCTTTTGGTCACTTGACCCTTGTGAACAATCCTTTGAGGACGTTGTCGGTTCTGGAGCCGCTTGATGTTGGTGGCTGTTCCCTTGGGTTAAGGGTACCAGTGACCCGGTCAGCCACTCAGAAACACTGCCTGGTAGCCATGAATGCTGGGTTCTTCAACACACACACAGGGGATTGCTATGGAAATGTTATAAGTGACAGAAGATTGGTCAAAAACATGCATGGTGTGCAGAATGCCCATTTTGGGATCCGAGCAGATGGCAGCTTAGTCTTTGGGTGAGACAGTCATCACCAATACTTGCCTGTTAAAATTTTTGCCTTCTTAACCATAATCAATGTCCCAGGGCATTCCCGGTTCCTTGTAAATCCATTGCCAGAAGCTTTTACAAATGTGGGAGTAGCAGATTCTAAGATTTGCTGAGACAAATTCCTGCTTCTTAAGCAGTTGCAGGCATAGTTCTACAATAAACTTGTCCCAGGTGCAGTGTTATTTTGGGCCAAAAGTATCATGTTATTCCTTTATCAAGTGGACTTTGAAAGCTGACCCTTGGTGGTCATTTGTTCAAGATTGCATAACACTTCTTATTGCTTTGTCACTTTTTTTGAAACTCCAAGACAATGTCGCACACTGATACATGTATTTGCTGCAGTGCATGGCTATGGCTACTTGAGGGAGCCACACGTGCAGTGTCCAATGAACTAAGAAGTTCAAGCCTCAGTGTGTGTACAAACTCTATGGGAATCACTCAGTGTTGGGACAATGTACAGACATCACATGGTAGGCCGGCATACCATACAGCATGTCTCCATACAAAATTTCTGTTCACCGTTAACATTCATAAATACATGTGCCTACATGTACAGGAAGACAGTTCAGCCATTCTAGGCGGTTGAGAGCCCATCATGTGGCTGGTCATAACCTTAAGCAACAGTCCTCAATCCTTGTTTAGATGCACCTCGGGGATAAGGGTTAAACGGTTGGTAAAATATTGGCTGGCCATTTACTTCAGTGCCACCTCTTGCAATACGCACGAGTACCAATCTCCATATAAGGAGAATGTTTATGACTGCTTGTGAGAGGCAGACACCATAACATTACAATAGGGATCTTTAAAAAGAAACGAAAATTGTCAAACCAAATTGTTGGAAATTTAATAGTTTTGAACTTCTTTTGACTCTGTCACTCAAAAGATATTTGTGAAATGGAATAAACGTTTCTTGACTGGACTGAAGCATTCATTTCCGACAGGCTTCAGAGAATGTGACTTTGACTGTTTTGAATGTTGCAGGTACCTATCAGAGCATGATGTACTAGACCGGGAGAATCCATTTGTGCAGCTTGTGGGGGGAGTAGGCTGGCTTCTGAGGGACGGGGAAAAATATGTTGAGGAAAGCAAAAAAGCAGAATGCAAGAACTCTGAAGAGACAGGTACCAGACAGTTCAACACCTGTGCCATTCTTTCAAAATATCTTACCATAAACCGATGTACATGTATTTCTAACCAGTTTTGTCTCCCTTAATGATTCTGTTGGACTCATATTCTGCAACAAGAAACCTTGCAATTTGTGAAGATGCTAATGTTCATAAGCATGATGATCAGGAGTAGTAATGTCAAATATTAACAAGCTCTTGGATTGTCATTCTGGTGGATTTTCCTTCTTTGAGTTCGTGTTGCTTTGTGCGTTGTACCAGCAGTAACTTTTGATAAGTTCCTTAAGTAAGCGTATCTTACATTTCCAACCAGGTTCAGTGGAGTCCTTTTTTAACGTTGTCGCAGCCAGAACAGCTGTAGGGAGCGACAGGGAGGGGCATGTTATTCTGGCTCATGTAGACGGCAAGTCAGATTCAACTGGGTAGGTATTTACTTCACTGACTGGTTTTTGGCAAGCTGCGAAGCAAGTGTGAGCCTATGTAATACCGATTTCTGTCTGTCCGTCTGTCATCCGTCCGGCCGGCCGGCCGGCCATCCGCCCTCAAGTGTTAAAGTTTTTCCTTGCAGATCCATAGGTGTTAAAATGTGCCATTGAGTGCTTGTTTGCTTGTTCTTGGAATCCCATCAGTGTTTAAATAGTCTCATCTGGCATTAATGCTCAGAAACTTATGAATTTAACCCCTTCGCACCGGGAGGTGGCTATAGCCGCCGTAAAAATTGAGATCCTCAGCCCGCTTTTCAGCTATTATTCTCGGCCCACACTCGAGCAAACACAGTGAAAGAAGGCAGACCCTGGCTCTTGTGTATATGGTAATTGGTTTTTGTGTGTAGCCCAGAAATGAAAAGACCGATTTTGCATCATAATCACCAGCTTCACAATAGTCCCCACTTTGAAAAGAGGCAATGGGAGTAGGAGATGGATAGGATGATGGGGTTGGCTACAAAGTGCAGAACTGTACATGTACCCAGTACTGAAGAGGAATTTTAGTTATGCATCATCCGTCAAACTCACAAATGCACTGCTTATATAATCATCCAGGTCTAGTCTGACTGTACCAGCTGGACTCACTTTCTTTAGGCATTCCTCTCTCCTGTAAAGAACTCTGGCGCCTCCGTACCTGTACCTCCCTTGGTGGTCTTTTTTTATTTACTTTGAAATGACAGGCGCCTTCCAACACACAGTCTGCACACAGCACTGACTAGGTTTTTTTCTCCTAGAGTACAATGAATTGTATTGCTAAGGTCAATGGAATAGCTTGTACATCTGTATTGCAGTCGTATGTCGATCAATCTTGTTAAAAATTTTTACTTGTTTGATTTAGTAAACATATTTATATAGCTTGAATGTCTCTTTCCTGTTATTACAAGAAAGAAATTCAAATTCATAGCAAGCAGCGAGCCATGGTGGCTTTGCCGTTCTAGTTTATCAAAGTTTTGCCCACATCTGGATGGAAAGTAATGTCCATCATTGATTTTTCTCTACCTATGCTTTCTCTGTACAATTCATATAACTGGTGCTGAATTGAAATGCAAAAAAACATCTGTCATGTTGGTTGACATTGATGGCTCCTTTGATCTGCTCTGTCAAATTTGCATAAGATACAACCCCCCCATGAATTCTCAGACAGCAACACCACTTCACTTTTGTCTCTTACACAGGGTCTCTTTAGATGAGTTTGCTGACCTCTTGAAACGTAATGGAATTATTAATGCAATAAACTTAGACGGCGGTGGTTCATCAACCTATGTGATCAATGGTACAGTAGTCAGCTATGCAACTGATGAGTGGTGAGATAGCATGCTTTCAAAATTATGTATACTGTAAAAAACATGCACCTACCATCAGAAAGACTTAATAAATAAGTCTATTTGCAGCCATAAAATAAAGCAAATTGATACACTGAGAAAAAATTGCGTATCTTTGATGCAATCAATTGAAGTTTTGCTTCTTGAAGAGTGCAGGGAGGAATCAGTCTGAGTGTTTTGAGGGATGGTTTTTCTAGTTCATTTGGGTTGACTGCAGGCGATAGGCATGCGCGTTTTGGTTGACTGCAGGTGATAGGCATGCGCTTTTTGGGTTGACTGCAGGCAATAAGCATGTGCGTTGGGGTTGACTGCAGGTGATGGGCAGGGCTTTTTGAGCTAGGAATGGGGATTCTGAATTATTTAACTATTGTATCTTTTTCATAAATATGTAGCAAACACCTGATACCGTTGTGAACAGTAATGAAGAAACCTGTTTATGCAAGATTTCAAAGGAATAGTGTCTACTCCAACTTTTTTTAAGGCCCCATACACTGTTTGGTAGATTTTACTGGAATCAAATTCGACATTTTAACTTAGGTCCAATTCTGTCTACATTCATGTATTTTCTTGGTAACTTCCTGCCCCATATTTTGCCAGTGAGGATCGTGTCTTTCGTTGCCAACGGCAAGTCTCAACAATACTCTGTGTCCATGAGCCAGACTGTGACCCATCTGACTGTAGCAGCCATGGGGAGTGTGTGATGGGAGAGTGCCGTTGCCATGGTAACTGGCAAAGTCCAAAATGTGACTGGCTAGACTGTGGCCCTTTAAACTGTAGCAGTAATGGAGTGTGTACAGAGGGTAGGTCACAGTGGAATTCTGGTCACTTTTGAGTGAATTTTGCCTTAGAATTATAATGTTCTAATTACAAAGTGAAAGCTTGAGAGAAGAAGCCATTTATTGTGTTCCAGTAGTTCCTTCAATGTTAATTTTTTTTTAGTGATGTGAATCCCAGTAACACTCTTTGCTCTGTCAAGCAGAAAAGTTACTAACTTCCAACATTAGCGTAAAGATTGATCTACATATCAAAAATAATAATAACATGGATTTGGCAAACACCCTACAGAAATTTACCTTGGGGGATTTACATTGAATTGTCCATAATGTGTGTAAAACATATAACTCGGAGTTAGCCATTGAGGTAGTCATTTCGGGTTCAGTTTGACTCCAAAGAAACCCCATTCATTAGCTGAATATAGAGATCTCAATAACCTGATTTAAGTCAGTACTTTGTTTCTATCTGAAATGTCTTACACTGAGGACGGAATTTGGTTTTTACAGCATCTGATGAAAGTTAGTGAACTCGTGTCATGTTTTAATGTTGTATGTGTGGTGTGAGTCTCATGTTCTTAACATTATTGAGAGAGTTATGTCTTTTTTTTTGTTTCCTTGGTTCCCTGATGTAGCTGGTTGTCATTGTAATACAGGCTACCAACCACCAGACTGTTCTCAGCTGTGTGGAGCTGGTACCCATGGCCAGGATTGTTCATCGCTTTGTCAGTGCGAACACGGTGGGGATTGTGATCCAGTGACAGGGGCATGCTCATGTCTCCCTGGATATACCGGCAAGCATTGCCAACAGAGTAAGTGATTATTCCGTTGGGCTCGAGCAATTGCCATTGAAGGCACTGTTTTGTTTGTTCATCAGGCCACTTCTTTAATATTTAGTTAATGAGAACTGTTTTTGCATATCAAAGTTGGCCTTGTGGGCAGAATTTACGAAAAGTGAAGTGAATGTCACATACATGTACATGTATACATGGTTTTTTACAGGACCACAGTTTGCTATGGACATGTAGCGCAAAAATATGGCGCCTCAGCTAAAACTGCCCTTAAACTGCTAATGTGCTCTTATCTGCACAAAGCCAAACTTGGTTAAAGAGTCCTGAAATTAAGGACAAGTTATGATTTAGATTAAGAAGTTAATGGATGGTGGTTTATTTTACTGAAAACAGCAGTGTGTTTAGATCTATGACTGCTCAGAAAGGTTAGGAACTTTAATGAAATAGATGTACATGTATACGGTATTGACTTTGAAACACTTTGTGAGAAACCAATATCATTGTCAGTGGAAATAGAAATACTCTATCATGGCAATCTTGGTGAACATCGTTTCTCAGGGATTAGCTTGTGAGAAATCAATTAGCTGGTATATATTGGCACAGAGGACCCAATAAAACCTGCATGTGACTTTCCAGCCTGAGTTGGTTTCTGCTTGAATTTGCCTGGAAAGCAAATCAGTTACAAGTGATTTCTGCTGTTAAGTGATGTAACATTCGCCACCTTAGTAGTCTGTAACTTCCCAGGCTTCTTTGCTCAAATTCAACTTGGAATAAACTTGAAGTACTGAAGTACCATTTGGTTTAATTTTTTAAATGTTGGAATGGCTTTCGTAGCCTAGATCAGACAGATGCAAGTGACTTGTCTTCCAAGGATTTTTATCTAGTGAACTTGATTTCATCAGGAAGTACACATACTTCTTTATGTTTTTTTTTTTAGTTTGTCCGCTGGGATATCATGGTCCAGAATGTCAGGAGACTTGTAAATGTGAGGAAGAGTCTTGTGTTTGTCATCATATTACTGGTTTATGTATGTTTGACAGTAATGACACAACCTACGCCAGTCTATTGAAAGGTGAGTATTGTGATTACATGTAGATACTTCAGTTTGTCTGACAAGTTGGTTCATATATAATTAACATCTCCCCAACGCAAAAATACATCTTGAAAAAGTTCGCTGTACCCGCTGCTTCATTTGACTCGGACCGGCCAGCCAAGCCCGGCAAGCTCAGTGGTCG